TCACAATGGAAGGACCAGGGATGTTATATTTTTCCTTGCTGTTCTTGTATTTTACCTGATTTTTCTGTCCTCTTGTTGATTGATGGTTACCTATTTCCTTTCTTCCTGATACCGTTGCACCTAAACCAGCAATTTCTCCCCTCTGTCTTAATTCCTTTTAACTGTTGTACCCAGTATAAATGTCCTCAAGTTTGCCTTACAGATTCCCAGCCAGGATTTTGGAAAAACCTAAAGAAAAGACCCAGATAACTGTTCTCAAGTTTTACACTGAATCTAGTGCATGCAGAAAAGGGCCAAGCCTGTGGGAGTTTCCCCAGTGCTGCTGAGTGGATACCCATGTGATGCAGACATGATCAGTAAAGGTTACGGCCATCCATCTATGTCAAATCTCATTGCCTCGATTTTAAGGGTCTCCCAGCAACTGAGAACACAACGCCCTATTTTGGGGGAACTGTCTAGGAACAAAAAGCACTACGGTGATAATGGCACTAAAACAAAAAGCACCACCCACTCTCTTCCTGCAACAATGGATGAATAAATTCTCAGCATGTCTCAGAAAGGAAGGATTCTGAAACCTTGACACAACTTGCAAGAGAAGGCAAAGCAGAAAAATCTGTCATTCCTGCAGAGAGGACAGCTTGTATTGGCTCCAAACTGGGAGTGCTCCAGCCAGCTCCATTGGCCTGTCACAATGCAGATGAAACATCGATGATGCTGCAGACTTCTTATCAGGAGAGAGAAAGAGATGATCCCTCTGGAGCAGTGCTAACGAACAATACATAACTATGCCTGCTGCTTCAGTTTGGCATGGTTAGACACAAGCTGTTGTAGGGTAGTGCTTTGTTAGGAAATGAAGAGATTCCCCTTTTTGGGCATCTAGCCAGGAACTTTGATGTAACTTCTGCTTCATATAAATGTTTCATTTCCTTTCCCCAGAGAACCTAGCATGTATAAATCAGCACTTAAAGAACTATTACACTATCTTGGAGGTGTAGGGGAAAGATTTGCTTTTAAGAGCATAAGGCTGTGGGGTTTTTTGAGGACTGGGCCCTATGTGTGCAAACTCCTTCCCATTTAATAAGACACAATCCTTATGGGGGGTGGGGGGGTTTTCAATTATTTATTCTAGACTTGCTACAGGGCTGTGGTGAAGAGAGGGATGGGAAATAGCAAAGTCTCTGTCCTTTTGAAAGGCAGACATGGTATGGTTCAGTACAACTCGAGAAGGGCTTGGACAAAAAACTGTTCAAATGTGAAGTGGCTGCAAGTCTGGGACACTCTTGGAATTGGCATTTTTGTTCAGGCTCATTCTGTGTTTCTAACCCCCTGGTTCATAAAAGTCTCCCTTTGTGCCCAACAGTGAAAATGTGACACTAAGCAGGTGCAAGATGAGGACAAAGGTGAGATGTTAAAGGCAGCCACCAGCCCATAGGCGGGCATAACCTAGAAGAGGTGGCCTGCAAGGCCGAGGGGCTTGAATTAGCACCCCAGTGCAGACAAATCTTACCCTGGAGGTGATGAACATTCAAATGTCCTATTGGGGGAGAGGCTGAAGGAAATGCAAGGTTCTGACCCAAAGCCTCAGAGGGCTTTGGGCTCCAACTGCCACATTTGACAGCAGAAGCAAATAGGCTCAAATCTTTAAAACTATTTAGGTGTCTGTTTGCCCACTATGCGGTCGGGGTAAGTTGCAGCCTCTTGCATCCCTTCAGCCCCGTTCCCATTCTAGAGCAGGAGCTGGGGGTGGCACAAGGAGGCCATGAGTGGTGGCACGTGTGGGGGGCTGGGAAAGCTGGGGCTGCACAGGGAGGCTG